TCAACTCGATCTGACTTGATAGGGTCGATTTTTTTAAAAAAATTGGGTTCGGATCGGGTCGGGTCAAATTTTTGTATCAAAATAAAATTTATGTATCATATTACATATGTAATCAAGATTAGGTATCCGATTAAAAAGAGGGTAAAGTATACAAATAGTCCCTTGCAAAATGGTCTCCAAAGATAGGATATTATTTTGTTGAGTCCATCAACTATTAAAAGTTACAAAATGATCATTCGACAATTCATATTTCCAAACTCGTCATTTTTTGTTAAAAAAAATTAGTGGTTGTCTCAGTTTAGACATTAACCTATTGATTTTGATGTGATAAAAAATGGTCCTCCAATTATATGACATCATTTTGTTGAGTTTCTCAATTATTAAAAGTTATAAAATGATCATCTGGCTATTCATATGTTCCAAACTCATCATTTTCCGTTAAAAAATTCAATGTTGTCTGAGTTGGACGTAGGGGGTGTGAAAATTCGGATATCGGATCCGATTCGAAAATTTGAATATCCAAAAAAATTTAGATACCTAAAATAGTGATTCGTATCTGCTACCTTTATTATAAAAGGGATATAAAATTTAATTTGATAAAAAAATTATATTTTATATTTTATGATTTAATGTAACTTATATTATATATATATATATATATATATATATATATATAATTTACTCACATACAATAACTAAATAAATAAATATCATAATTTTTGTTGGATTAGAGCTTTAATGAGTTAGTTACTCATTTATTGGGTTAAAGAGTATCTAAAATCTAAAATCTCATTTTCTGGATTTTTGAATAATCCGAAATTGGAACTTATCCGATCTATATCTGATCCAATTATTCGAAACTTTTCGGATATTTGATTCGAATTATCCAAAAATAAAAAAGGATCAGATATTCAAATTTTCAGATTGGATCATCGGATCAGATCAATTGCATCGAATCTTTTTTGCACACACTAGCTGAACGTTAATCTGTTGAGTGTGATATGATAAAAATTGGTCTCCCAACTAGGGCGATGTTTTGTTGAGTCAACAAGTTAATGTCTAACTCAAAAGACCGTCAATTTTTTAACAAAAAAGAGACGAGTTTGGAATGTATGAATAGTCAAGTGATCATTTTGTAACTTTTAATAGTCGATGGACTCAACAAAACAATATCATATAGTTAAGAGACCAATTTATAGCTTTTAGTAGTCGAGTGACTCAAAAAAAATAAAACCCTATGATTTGGAGATGATTTGTGCACTTTACCCTTTTTTTGCGTCAAAATAATTCATTCTTCTTAATTAATAAATAAAAGGAAATTTAACGTAGTAAAAAAAAAGTAAGGGTCGATCCCATAGAGACTAAGAAAACTTCATGATTTATTAATGCTTTGTTTGATCTTTGAGCCAAGAAGTTGATGGATTAAAATTTGAGTAATGATGAAGATTTATAGATGAAGAGAAATAAAATATAAGAAAGAAATATATAAAGATTTCAAAGAAAATTAAAAAGAAAGTTTAAAAGAAAATTCAATTTGGTAAAATAAACCTTAGGCTTTCGCTTTGACTCAATTTCCTTCGGATCATCGAATTAGATTTTTCTTTCGGGATTCATGTCAGTTACTTTGTCTACAAGGGCAATCCTTGTGACTCTTCTTTGTATACCGAATGCCAAAGGAAATCTTTGATTCTTGCTTTGGAAATTGATCTGATCAACATCAATTGTCGTAGATCAATAACCGTTTAAATTCGTGAAGACCGACTTGGATTGTTGTTTCAATAACTACTAATTTCGATCTTAATTCCCTCTTAGCAAGACAATCTTGCCAAGTGTGTTCCCAAGAAATCAAAGTGCTTTCAATAAGTCGATCCTTCATCCCACATTTAATCGCAACAACATCTTGACCAAAGTCAATCTTTGATTTTGAAAACTATTTTGATTTTGAAAATAAGCATAGAGATTGAGAGAGATATTCCGAAGTTATTCAAGTGCTTTTCAATTCTCATGTTGGAATTGAGTCATCGCTTTAGCCCTCGGCTTGAAAGAAAATTAAAGAAAACAAAAATAGAAGAAAATAATTTTTATTAAACTAAATAAAGGATGAAATGATGATTCTATTAGGCTTATCCCAAGGGGTATTTATAGCGTTCTAAAAACCCTAAAAACAAAGAAAAATATAATTCCTAAAATAAATAAGAAATAAATCCTAAAGGTAATTCTTAAACTATAAAATCCTAAAAATATGGACAAGATAAAAAACAACTATTAAAATATTTAAACTAAAATCATAAAGATAATTCCAAATGTTTTTCAAATTCAAACTCTAATATTTAAAAACAAATGTCCTAAGATATCTATGTTCGTCCACCTTCCAGAAGGTGTTAACTAGATCTTCTAGAAAACTGCTGCTGACTGAACCTTCTAGAAAACTGTTGTTGACTGGACCTTCTAGAAACTACCATGTCAAATCATATCATGCCCAGAGTCGTGTCCACGTCTTCAGCTGTGACCAAATAATAATAAAAATACAGAATGTGTCATCTTTACTGCTAATTTTGGAAAATAAGATCATGTACGAAAATAAGCACAATACAACCAAATCAGTAGTAATAAATCCATAAGACCAAAGAATTAACGAGCAAATATTAGCGATTTATAACATTCATCACCCTTAAACATATGTAGGAAGAATTGAATAAATACAAATAAAAAATAAATTACACACACACACGAAGAATTGGATTAAAAGTTATATTAAGATACTTACGGAGAATAAAGCTAACTTGTTATTTAAAAAACCTAGTTTTCTCTCATTGGTATGTTGTTTATCTATTTTTTTATCTTTGTTAATTAACAGTGACACCAACTTTAATATTGATAGTTGATCGTCGGTATTTTTTATTGTCATTTTCTTTTCTTATATCATATCTTTATTTATTTATTTTTCAATATGTTTGTATATATGATGCATTTACAATCGCCTTTATGACACGTTTTCTTATGTCTTTTGACATGTTTTTGGGTCGTTTGACTGTTTTTTCATTTATCTTTTTCTAAGGGTTAATTTGACATCGTCACTACTGATCAAAATGGCATTTTTTATGATATCTTGTTGATCTTCCCTGCTTTAGATCCTCGGATTGGATTTGAATACTCAATTTGCACTCATGGATAGCTTTTCACTTCGCTTGGGTCTGATTTAAGGTTTTTCGGTAGTCTTTCAATGGCTTGATCTCATTTTATGGTTTGTTTGCTGATGCGATCAGATATGTTTGTATCTATCTTTGTTCGAGTTTCTTGGTTAGATTTTTAATTTTTCCTTGTATGATCCTTATGTGATCTTAAGTTGTTAATTTTGTTTCAATGATTATAGGAAATTGTCTTAATCATATGTTTAATTTACGATTATGATTGTAATTTGGGATATTTCATATTTCGAGTAATTTGAGATATTTCTTATTTCAAATAAAATATAGACTTTAGTTCCTTCAAAATTTAAATTATGATAAATTTATATATTATATAAAAGATAAAATTATAATTTAATTTAAAATTAAAGGAATGATAAAATTATATTTTAACCTTTAAATTCTATAATTTACTTTTCGACCCTTTGAAAAATTCATAACTTAAGGCCAAGATTGGAAGGATTGCATCCAAGTGAAATTCAATGAAATGTTCAAAGAGATCGAACAAAGATGATAATATAATAGTTAGAGATGTAACATTTTGCGTGTAGCTTAAAATTGAAAAAGTCTTTAATAAAAAAAATAAGGGGTAATACGTTTTTAATACCAAAACTATCAATTTTGATTTATTTCAGTATTTAAATTTTCATTTTTTTTTTCAAAATCATACATAACATATAGTTTTTGTTTCATTTTAGTACCTTACCGTTAAAAGCTTAACTGACGGGCTTGCCCACCACCATATCTACAGTCACTGATCTTCGCATCTGTCAGTCGATGAAGTCTAAACTTTCCACTGGAAAATGCTTCAATCTCCTCTAATCGATGATAGACTCTTCGATTTCTTCATCCTGCGATCTTTATGGTTCACTGTCTGATGGACTTGAAACTGGACTATGTTGATCGACTCATTATTCTCTCGTGGTTCACCGTTCGAATTGGTCATTCGTCTATCGGAGCTATGTCATGTAAGTCCATCCGTTAAGTTTTTAATGGTATGGTACTAAACTGAAGAAAAAAAACTAAACATTAAGTATGATTTTGAAAAAAAATGAAAGTTTAGATATTAAATGTGTAGTTTAATAAAAAAAATTGAGAAGTTGTTTTGGAGAAAGTAAGTTGATAGATATAAATTATAGGGTAAACTATATCAAATATCATTGAACTTTAGGCGATGTATAATTTATACCACTAAACTTTTAATTTTGTTAATTATAGCACTAAATTTTAGTTTTCGTTTCAATTATACCATTGGGTCATTAAATCATTAACAACTATATCAAAACGACGTTGTTTTGGTGAAGTGCCTACCTTGAAAGTCGTCAGCCACGTCGGCAATCGTTAGCCACATCATCGTGTCGATAACGATTTAACGGTTTTGTGATATAATTGAAACGAAACTCAAAGTCTAACATTATAATTGGCAAAATTGAAAATTCAATGGTATAAACGATACAATGTCTAAAGTTCGGTAGTATATGATGTAGTTTACCCTAAATTATATGTAAAAGGTAACATTCATTGAGTCGGATTTTATGTATGTATAACTTGAAGTTCAACACTTTGCATTGTGCTTCATTTTGATTTTTTTTAATTTATTTTCAAATTATTTTTCCACAACAACAATAAATTGAACTTAAATAATTCGTAAGGCTATATTTAGTAATTATGATGCTAGTAGGGTGGAGTCCCTGTTGACCTATTTGTGGTGGTGGCATTCTTCGAGATCATTCGGGCGATTAATCTTATGTTTTTCAAAGGTCATCGATCGTTGCTCGGTCCTAGATGCTGAATAATGGAGTGTCTATGAAGGGTGAGGTCTGGAGACATGAGAGGTTATGATCCAGACGAATGATAAAAAGATTTTATGCTTGATAGAGGTTCGGATTTAAGGGATGTTTCATCGATGCCTTCACACATTATTGCTTTTAACATGACTAGAGTTTATCATTTCAATATGCGTCTCGTGAGTATAATAGAGTGGCAGATGAAATAGTAGAATTGGCGTGAAACCTCTCTTTCGGTGTTATCATGAGTCGTTCTTAGCGATTGCCAGTATTATGCACGAGGATGCCCCGACGTAGCGATTGCGGATGTTTTGTATGAGGATGTCCCGGGATGACAAAAGTGCCCAAATAAGGCATGCGGGAATGTTTAATTCCCAAACTAATGCACTCATCCGATTAATTTTCTATCTAGTGTATTTTCTACAGTACCTCCTAAAGTTCCCAAGATATCTCGGCGTCTTCAGGCTTAAAATTTTGCTCCATAGATTACCAGACGTCTTTAGTTAATTTTTTCCTGATTACTGTGCTTTTTTGGAGATTTTCCCATAAAAATCATTTTTTCCTTAAATATTTACGTATCAGACACCATTTGAAATAATATTTCCGATCTAACACCCTTTGTATTATTTAATTTTTTTAGTATTTTATTTTTCCCTTAAATCATTATGTTAAAATATGTACTGGAGCGACGTCATTCTTCTAGTACTTCTAACATGAACATTCCTTGAAATCTTCATTATCACCTCCTCAAGAGTTATGTTTCTCTTGAAGGATATTTTAACATAATGATTTATTACGAAAACAACGCTGGTTCCTTCTTCCTGAATTTATCTATCATAATAAACAATAGCTGAAATTCGCTTTATTCTTACACATAAACGTAAATAATTTAAATAATATAATTTTATATTATTACCGTATCGGCAAAAATATTTCGGCTTATAATCTCGCTTTTCAATTTTACAACTACAAAAATTAATTGAAAATAATTACTATAATATATTTTTTTCAAATAATCATATATAATTATAAAAAATATTATATATTAAAAAAATTACCTTACAACGAAAGATCGAACGAACTTCTGAATCAAAGATAAGAGTGGGTGATATTAAGGAATATTATCTCAAAGGGTGTCTGACACGTAAATATTTAAGGAAAAAGTAATTTTTTGAGAAAATCTCCAAAAATACACAATAATCATAAAGAATTTAACTAAAGACGTCTGGTAATCCCATAGAGTAAAATTTTAACTTGAAGACGCCGAGATATCCTGAAAACTTTAGGAGATACTGTAGAAAATACACTAGATGAGAAATTAATGAGATGAGTGCATTAATTTGGGAATTAAACATTCTGGCATTGACACTTTTGCCTTCCCGGGATGAGTGGACGATAAGAGTGTACATTTTTAGATATCAAATATTTTCTGAACAAAAAATTCAAATATCAAAAAATGTAAAAACAAATCAGATATATAAACTTTTAGATCAAATTAATGGATTGGCTAATCAGACCATGACATATCATTAATTTCAACTTTTATCTTATTAAAAATATCCGGTGACATATATTTTAATATTAAAAAAATATTTTCCCTCTCATATTCCCTCTGTTTCTCCTCTTCCAGCTCATCTTCTCATCTTCTCCAAACGAAAACAAAAATTGATTTTCCCTCTCATCTTCCCTCTGTTTCTCCTACCGATATGCTGACAAAATCTTCCAAAACCTGACTCGAGCCTTCTCACTGGTACCGCGCACACACAGTTGGCAGCAAAAGTTCGACGCCAACCAAATATAGAGACCATCAAACAAGGAGAGAGTTCGAGCCCCATCGCATGAATAGTCAATCCCCTTAAAAATACAGCAAAGCATAACAAGATTGGAAAGATTACAGTCGACCAAAAACCTGAAGCTTCCATGCCATCTAAACATGAACAACATTGTATCAAACCCCACTAGCACTCATCAGAGAAGCAAAATAAGATCCATCACCTAAATTCCCAAGGGCAACAGACGTTTCTCACACCCTATGCTCACAATCATTTATATTATCAATTTTGAACAATCTAAAAGTGCGTTTGGTTCACAGAATGTAAGATTACCAGTGAGAATAAAAGATTATCAGGGAATAAGATTACTGAGAATGTTGTATTTTGTGTTTGGTTGGTTTAGCATGAATATAAGATTACAGTGTTTGGTTAAAAGAATACAAAATTATTGGAATGTATATTTGACCAAATTATCTTTATTATATATTTTTTTAACAAGTTTAAAAATATTTATATATTTTCTTTAAAAATATTAAATTCATAAAATTTATATAATTTTTTACAAAATTGAAATATAAAAAAGTTTAATAAAAGGATAAAATTTTATTTTATCCCTGAACTTCATATAAAATTTTAATTATAGATTTTTTTATAAATCTAAAATATTTTAAGGATAAATTTATAATTTAACCATTCCCGACCAACCAAACGGGGAATGTGGATTTCATTCTCAGGAAATCTCACATTCCTCCAACCAAACACACCCTAAGATACCATATCCATTTAAGCAAGACAAAACTGAGAACTAGAACAAAAAGTATACTGCTTTGTGAATTAAAAGAAGTTTCGAGGCAGACAAAACTCTGTTGCGGCCAATCTTAAGTTCAGAGAGGAAGAACAAGTCGCATATCCTAGTAAATGGAATGGAAACAGAAAGGCCTAGAGAGGAAGAACAAGCAACACTTAGGGGGTCGTAGTTTTGGGAAGAGAATGAAATGAGGGTTATAAGAGGAATCCCGTGTGTACAACTGTGAAGGAAGTCCTTCCAGATGGTTGCGATTCTGTGAACCAAAGACCGCCTCACAAGCAACACTTAGGGGGTCGTAGCTTTGGTCGTTTCAGTTCAGCAAGGTCTAGTGTCTTAGTTTCAATGAATCTCGTCTTTCCTCCTCCACCGCCAATATCACACCCCTCCACACTGCAAATGAGATCCGCGTTGGTCTTCCATTAAAGCAGGCACTAACCTCTCTTCCGATGGAAACCTCCACCTCCATCACCTCAAGCTCATTCGCCATTTGGATACCGAAAACCTTGGCCAGGTCTTCCTCTGTTGCACCTTAGAACCTTAGAGGTTGCAACAATGCCACCCTCATTGTAAAAGTGATCGACGGGGATAAAATGCCGCTTCGATTTCCAGCTTAAGCTTCGGAAATGCTGTCTTCGGTGAAGAGAAAGGGGAAGAGAGGGAAAGAAATCTTTTTTTATTTTAATTAATTTTTATTTTCAAAAATCATTTTTAAATATTAAAGAATATTTAACAGCTAAAATTAACGGTTCATCATAAGCCTGATTCAAACTGAGTTCCGAATAAAATGTTAGACACTAAATTATAACAAAATTAATATTAGACTGAAACCAAAGACATACATTAGAGAATTTTTTTATATTTAAGCCCTTGATTTTCTAATTTGTTTTTATCTCATTATTAAAAAAACTTTATAATAATAATAATTATAGAAATCTGCTCATATTTCACCCTAATTTTACATCAAAGGGACTAAATTGCAAATATCTTACAGACTTTCGTCACAGCGGAGCAGAAAAAAGCATTTTTTACATCCCAACATTTAAAAACTCAACCCACGCCCACTATTCCCCTAATATTACATAAGTCCACCCTTCATTTTCATTTATATAAAACAAAGCCCCGTACTCTTTTAACGCGTGGCCTGATATATGTTGAAATGTTACCCAATCGCCTCTAATATTTTCCCATATTTTCAAATCCGTCCAACATCTTGAAAAAATATCACGGAGGGTCTCGGATCTTGAAAATTTCGGGGATAGCTAAACAGAGGCGAGATGGCCAGGAGAGAAATAAGAGAGAAAGAGGCGAAGGCTTATTCGGATTCAAATCTAATTCGGGTAAGGCCTCTGATCTCAGAGATCCAACCGGAGCAACCGCCGTAGATCCCTGGTAGCTGAATCATCAACCGGAACCTCTTTCTTCTTCGAGAAAGAAGGCAAAGGAAGAGAACTCGGCGCCGGAGAAACGAAGAAAGCAGATCCGGCATACACGTCTGATTTTCCCATCACAGAAGACTTGATATCCACTATTCTGATCTCTTTCGGTACCATCTTCGGATCCGGACCTAACCGATCCGTACCCGTAACAACCAAACTTTTGCTCTTGATCTTCGAATCCAACGACTCACCTCGTCTCAAGATCGTAACCTTGTCCATCGTAACACTGTTCCTCACCGTCTTCAGGTCATCGGCAGAGCTGTATTTCTTCGAAATCGGCTGCTCCGATCCTACCCGCTTCCTCTGAGCGGATTTCCGGTTGAATCTACCGTTTCCGTTGTTATTGTTATGGTTACAATAATGACTACAGGGAATAAAGCTACCGTTTCCGTATCTCCGGCGAGGACATGCCATCGGTGGTACGCGGATTCGGTCGATCAAACAATCCTGAGGCCGTAAAACTTCAGTCCCCATTTTAATTAATCCCAAACACCACCGATAAAATCAAAATCAACCTAAAATAAATTTACAGAAAGAGAAAAACGAAAGATGAGCCTGGGAAATTTTACGATCTCTTCATAAGGGGAATCGAAGGAGAAAAGGAAGGATTTTTGAATTTTTTTTTCTCTTAATTTAAACACTAAAAAAATCGCTTCCTTTTTTTTGTTATATTTTTTCTGCTCTGCTGATACTTGAATCTGCCGAAAAAATAGACAGGGAAATGGAAATATATAGGAGGAAATTCAAGAAATGGCGAGGAAAAAGAGGGGGAGGTGGGTCCGAATCGGGTTTTCGGGTTAGTTTCTTTGGTCTTCTTCATTTTATATGTGTTGACGCGTCAGATGGGTCCCGCAATACCGAGTGGCTTGGGTCAGGTGGGGCCCAACTAAAAAGAGGTTGGGTTGCTGTGACGGTAACCGTTAAGTGATGTGAAGTTCTTTTATCTTTTTCTTATTTATAGGGTTGTTCATGGCGGTTAATTATATTGTTTAATCTAAATGCTCCATTAATCATTATAATGGTTATTAAAAATTATTAATTATAATTTAGTTATTAAGAAATAATTAATTATTAATCATTAATTGTTATTAATTGTTCGGTTACAAATTAATCTATTATTATCATTAATTGTTATTAATTGTTCGGTTACAAATTAATCTATTATAAATTTTTCAAAGATAACACAACATAAATTCTTTTTGTTGAAACAACACAAAAAATTTAAAGTTTCATAAAATTTACAATGATCTGAACATATATATTTGTAAATTTTTTATGTATTTATAGATATATTTTATTTTTATAGAAACATATTTTAGGAGGTATACTAGCTTTCTTATTCAATTTAAAATCTTATGTGCATATTTGCCTATGAATATACTTACTGAGATTAAATTTAAATTATATTTTTTTCATTTATGTTTCACTTAATGTGCCCTAATATGATAACTAAGAAATAGGGGGAAATTAATTTAATTTTTATAATTTTATTCTCTTTAAAAATAATAATTTATTATAATTTATTAACGATTAATCAATGATTAACCATTTATCAAAATTAATAACTACAATTGTAATCATTAACTAACAATTTTAGCAGTTTAGCTAATTAAAATGATTTATTTTTAATAATTTAATTAATTAACCTATAAACTTTAGTGATTATACCGCTTAACGATTAACTGAATTATTTTCAAGACTCCCTACTTTTCTGAAGGGGTAACGGAATGGTTAGTTGTCGGGTTGTAAGATTTTTTTCTCTTTTTCATTTTAAATAATAATTATGATTATTTTAGGTGAAGGGACCACATTGGATGATAATGTCGTTCTCTTATTTGTGCGGTGAAACGGTGCCTGGTTTTCTTTTTACTGTGGGCTCAAAAATCAATTTCTTGCCTTTTTTAAAAATATATATTTATATAATTGTTTTAATTCATTTAGGGTATTAAAAATATTTAATATAAGGTATTTTTTACAATAAAAATAAAAAGGCATATAGACTATTTAACGTTTCTTTAAATTGTATATAATTAGAATGTCAAGTCTAATATAATAATAAATTAGAAGACATGTTTTCCAAATATGTTAAATAATTCGTACATATTTCTATAGACACTATAACAAACACTTTATCTCATAAAATAAATTTTCTAATATTCTAAATGAGTCAATATTTTTCTAATACATTATCGTTAACATTCCAAAATCAGAGCTAGTGACTAAAATGTAAATTTTGGAAACTTTGTGCTCAATTTCGAAACAAGTTAAAAGTTCAAGGACTTAAATAAAAATATTTCAGAGTTAGATTAAATGGTAATTGTGGAAAGTTTGAAGGGTATAATGGTAATTTTATAAGAAAGATTTTTATTTCTCCTTTATATAGGAGATGGCACGTGGAAAGGGAGTAAAGAAAATAGAAAAGTCTGGAGACTTTGGTTCAGTCTTCTTCTTCTCCTCTTCCTGTGGCTCCATTGATAAGGTAAGTTGGTTTCAAGCTGGTTAATTCTTTCGTTTTAAAGTTTATTTTGATTCTTGGAGTGATACAAAAGCTTAAGGAAGTCTAAAGATAAGTAAAAACTCAAAGATGGATATGTTAAGAGAGATTGAGTAAATAGAGTTTTTAAATGAAATTTTGAATATGAAGGTTTAAATGAATTTGGAAGTTGAATTTGAATTGTCAATAGTGAAATTAAGAGATATGAAGTGATGAAATTGAATTTAGAATAAGTAGAAAATTTAGTATGATTCTTGAATTCTATATGGAAGATAGGATTTTGAGATTTAAGATGGGATAAATGAGTACAAATGGTCTTAAGTATGTATGTTTGAGTTTAGTATATATAAGGGGATGAAACATGAAGTGTTTAAATGGATTTGAGGTGAATTTCGTGCTTAAAATTGATTTATGGGCAAGGGTGTATCGGTACACATTCATTAGGTACCGATACATCAAGAGTAAAATCTGGGAAGAAAATCAAAGTGTACCGATACATTAGAGAGTGTATCGATACCCCATTGAACAGGACAACATCGAATGTAATTTGTGTATCGATACATAGGTAGTGTATCGATACAAATGTTAAGGAATGTATCGATACACTATAGAGTGTATCGATACACTTCAAAGGGGAAAATGGAAATATATCTTTCTTTTGGTTTAAGAAATGAAAATTAGAGTATGCCAAGTGGAATTCCGATATGTATGATTGTGTAGATATCAATCGAGAGCAATGTTTGGACAAGGTGTCAAGTAATAGTCATCGAGGAAAAGACAAGGAATTGGTATTGACTAGTGAGGTCAGGTGAGTTCATACTCTTAGAATATATGTATTTCTACATGGAAACTAGACTTGTGATAAGTTTGTTTCAATATTTTGAATAGATGATAGTATGATTCAAAGCATGATTAGGATTGTGTACTATGTAAATATACTTTGCTTGTATTACATGTTATGTGATATGCATTTATATGTTATGTAGTATATGATAATGATCTAGGAAACATTACAAGAATGTTACATGAGCTACTTGATAATAAGTCATGAAATTACATGCATATGTAATATAAGTTATAAGATGAGAAAATAGGTGTTGATATGTATATGAGAAAATATGAGAATAAGAAATAAGTCATGTGATATGTGAATATGAAAATGATCTATGTGTATATGTGATATATATGATATATGGGAAACATATGTGAACAAGAGATGAAAATGATATACATGTTATATGAACACATAGGAAGTGTTATAAGATAAGTGCCATATGAATATGAAATCATATAAATAGTGATATGCATATGTGAATATATAAAATGATAAATAATAATGCCCATGTTATATGCTATGAGGGCTAGAGGTATAGTTGGCATGCCAAGAGTCGAGGGTTTTACGTGGTCCTTCGGGACATTTCATAGTGGTACTTCGGGACAAATTCATATGCCTCTAGTGGGACCCCATACGAGCTGTGGTGACAGTATAGTGCACAACCTCAATAGGCTTACATATCTATAGTTCTCACATGTGTACATGGGCCAATAGAAAATATATAATATGAGAAAAATGATATGTAATGTTATATGTTTGTTTGGTAATATGATGTGTATGTATGTGAAAGTATGATAATAAGATGGTAAAGTTATGAATGTAATTGATGATATGTGTGCATATGGGTAATGGTTTCATATAAGAATATATGATTTGGTATGAAACGGATATGTATATATTTATGTTTCGATGAATAATGTGTTAGATAATTTAGAATGAATATATGAAACGTGCATATTAGGAATTAGTATGGAAATGATACATATATATGTGTGTGTGTGTGTGTTATGCTTGTATATAACATGTTAGTAGAACTTGCTCATGCTTGATTATGAATTAGAGTTCTATTATATATTTTATGCCTCACTAAGTCATCAACTTAGCATGTGAATGTTGCACACATAGGTTACGGAAAGCGAGAATAAAAGCTAAGAAGAACAAGACAGGTCATTATCTTCCTTATGAAAATCAGATCAGAAACATGTTGAATATATGTATTTTATTTTATAGAATATAGTTGGCATATAATTACAAAATTTGAATTGAATATGCTCTTATCGGTTTTATAAAATCATTTGATTGTATTTATTAATGTAAAGTATTTATTTTCTTAAATGATGAATTTAAGATTTTGTGGATTTATGAAGAACAAAGTTTTGAAAAGTCAATGTGACACCTCGGACTCAGATCCGGGTCGGATACAGGTTGGGGCGATTTTAGGCTTAAACTGAATTTAAATAAGTTTTAAAATGTGTACATGCCAACTCAAAGTGAAAATTTCTGATCTGATTGTGTAAGGAGTATGTTGTCTTGCTAATAGAATAAGATTAGTATAATATAGTAGAAATTCGATTATGAGAATTTCTGAAGAAAAGTGAGAGGTGAACATGATGGTGATAGCAATTCACTTGCCCTGGCCAGGCAGGATGAAGAGCGGATACCTCAAGGAACACCTTTGTAAAAATTAAAGATTATGTTCAGAAGATTGAAAGTGCAATCGAATAGTGTTAGAGGATCTTCACTATTTCAAAGTAGAGAATTCAGATGAAGTAGTTTAGTTACTATGCGGATGAGTTAAACTATAGTGCACAAATATTATCACGAGAATGATAGAAGACTCAATGATGTGGTTATTAGTCTAGAAAAGTTCGAGAATAAGTATTCAGTGATAAGTTTATCAGATATATGAAGCCAGAGTTCATGAATTTGAAACGGGGGAAATTGTTACGTGTATGGATAAGAGCGTGGTTTGATAAGTTGAATGAATAATAGTCAGCTAATTTGAAAGAAAATGATGTATATATGGTTCAGATGAAGTTGGAATGTTGAGAGTGAACAAAGGAAATTGCATGGTGTATAGAAAAGGATGTGAAATTGATAAGTTAAGTCAACCAAGTATGGTGAGGATAAGATGGAGTATGGTGGTCAAGTGTCACTATAAGAACGTTTAAAGAGTAAGCGATGGGGATAGAATTTGTAGAAGAATTCAAAAACAAGTGCCTTAGTGACAAGTTTATAAGATAAATGAAACCCGAGTTTATTAGTTTGAAGTAAGAGAATAGTATTGGGTATAAGTGAGAATGTGAATATGATAAGGGTTTGCATCATAGATTGAAAGAGTTGGCGTTAGTTAAAGTTATGTGATGGGAAGCATATTGGAGTTAAAAAAATTTAAAGATAATATCAGGTTAAGTTAATTGAATATGAAGTGAATTTGGGATATGTTTTTATATTATGGTCATAGAATGGTGAGGTAGTAAAGAAGATAAGAATTTGTATGTTTGAAGAAAAGATAAAGTTAAGTTAATCAAGTATGATGTGGATCTGGATGTGGTTTTGTATTTTGATCATATAGATATGATATAGGCAAGGAAATAAGTATTGGTATGTTTTAAAAGGGGGCTTTAAAGAAGGAAATACAAGTACAAGAGAATGTAAAGAATGAGGTTCTATATGAGTAAGTTGATTATCAAAGTTATGAAGAGGTGATAAAGATCAGTGATCATATATGAGCATAAGTGATAGGAAAAGAGTATGTGAACATGAAATAAAATATATGATTTGTGTATAAGGATATTTTGATTTTTGAATGAATAAAGAAATAATGAAATAAATAAATAAAAAGGAATGAGTTCAAAGGATCAAATATGATAAATGTTATATGGAAGTGTAGATGATAAGCTCGGTATAGAAGTAAGAAAAATGTGCAAGGTGATGTGAAAAGATTATTTGATTCCGTAAAGTATATGTTTAATCACAGCTGAAGAAGATTTAAGGTTGTGTTTTTGGTCAAATGATGATGGAATAAGAGTTTGGCTATTGTTATAAGGTAATTAGATATGAATTTATGATGTTGAGTGATGAAAATGAATGTTACTATCTACGTGATTAGTGACATTATATGGATTTTAGAAAGGTCAAAGGAAAATGCAGAATCGAACGAGAGAAAATATAGAAATGGATTGAGGTTTTGGTTACTGTTTATATGACAAGCGACAGTAGATGAATGTATAAAGGAAAAATGTAATTGAAGAACTAGAGGAAGGAAATATTAAGTAAAGGAGGCAACATGAGAGCATTATAAGATATGTTCTTATCAATGTGTGCAATGAAAATTCGGGGATGAATTTTATTAAAAGGAGGGAAGATTTGTAACATTCCAAAATCAGAGCTAATAACTAAAATATAAATTTTGGAAACTTTGTGCTCAATTTCGAAATAAGTTAAAAGTTTGAGGACTTAAATAGAAATATTTTAGTGTTAGATTAAATGGTAATATTGGAAAGTTTGAAGGGTATAATGGTAATTTCATAAGAAATATTTTTATTTCTCCTTTATATAGGAGATGACACGTGGAAAGGGAGGAAAGAAAATAGAAAAGTTTGGAGACTTTGGTTCAGCCTTCTTCTTCTCGTGGCTCCATTGATAAGGTAAGTTAGTTTCAATATGGTTAATTCTTTCGTTTTAAAGTTTATTTTGATTCTTGGAGTGATAGAAAAGCTTGAGGAAGTCTAAAGATAAGTAAAAGCTCAAAGATGAATATGCTAAGAGATATTGAGTAAATAGAGTTTTTAAATGAAATTTTGAATAAGAATGTTTAAATGAATTTGGAAGTTTAATTTGACTTGTCAATAGTAGAATTAAGAGATATGAAGTGATGAAATTGAATTTAGAATAAGTAGAAAATTTAGTATGATTCTTGAATTCTATATGGAAGATAAGATTTTGAGATTTAAGATGGGATAAATGAGTACAAATGGTCTTAAGTATATGTGTTTGAGTTTAGTATATATAAGGGGATGAAACATGAAATGTTTAAATGGATTTGAGGTGAATTTCATGCTTAAAATTGATTTCTGGGCAAGGGTGTATCGATACACATTCATTAGGTACCGATACATCAAGAGTAAAATCTGGGAAGACGTTCAAAGTGTACCGATACATTAGGGAGTGTATCGATACTCCCTTGAACACGAAAACATCGAATGTAATTTGTGTATCGATACATAGGTAGTGTATCAATACACACATTAAGGAATGTATCCATACACTATAGTGTGTACCGATACACTTCAAAGGGGAAAATGGAAATATATATTTCTTTTAGTTTAAGAAATGAAAATTAGAGTATGCCAAGTGGAATTCTGATATGTATATTATATGTATGATTGTGTAGATATCAATCGAGAGCAATTTCGGGGTAAAGTGTCAAGTAATAATCATCGAGGAAAAGATAAGGAATTGGTATTGACTAGTGAGGTCAGGTGAGTGCATACTCTTAGAATATATGTATTTCTACATGGAAACTAGACTTGTGATAAGTCTGTTTCAATATTTTGAATAGATGATAGTATGATTCAAAGCATGATTAGGATTGTGTACTATGTGAATATGATTTGTTTGAATTACATATTATGTGATATGTATTTATATGATATTTAGTATATGATAATGATCTAGGAAACATTACAAGAATGTTACCTGAGCTACTTGATAATAAGTCATGAAATTACATGCATATGTAATATAAGTTATAAGATGAGAAAATAAATGTTAATATGTATATGAGAAAATATGAGAATAAGAAATAAGTCATGTGATATGTGAATATGAAAATGATCTCTCTGTATATGTGATATATATGATATATGGGAAGCATATGTGAAAAAGAGATGAAAATGATATACATGTTATATGAACACATGGGAAATATTATAAGATAAGTGACATATGAATATGAAATCATATGAACAGTGATATATATATATGCGAATATATGAAATGATAAATAATAATGCCCATGTTATATGTCATGAGGGCTAGAGGTATAGTTGGCATGCCAAGTGTCGAGGGTTCTACGTGGTCTTTCGGGACATAGTGGTCATTCGGGACAAATTCATATGCCTCTAGTGGGACCCCATACGAGCTGTAGTGATAGCATAGTGCACAACCTCAATAGACTCACATATCTGCAGTTCTCACATGTGTGCATGAGCCAATAGAAAATATATAATATGAGAAAAATGTTATGTGATGCTATATGTTTATTTGGTAATAGGATGTGTACGTATGTGAAAGTATGATAATAAGATGATAAAGTTATAAATGTAATTGATGATATGTGTGCATATGGGTAATGGTTTCATATAAGAATATATGAGTTGGTACGGAATGTATATGTATATATTTATTTTTCGATGAATAATGTGTTAGATAATTTAGAATGAATATATGAAACGTGCATATTATGAATTAGTATGGAAATGATACATATATATATGTGTGTGTGTGTGTGTTATGCTTGTATATAACATGTTAGCAGAACTTGTTCATGCTTGATTATGAATTAGAGTTCTATTATATGTTTTATGCCTCACTAAGTCATCAACTTAGCATGTGAATGTTTCACACGTAGGTTACGGAAAGCGAGAAGAGAAGCTAAGAAGAACAAGACAGGTCATTATCTTCCTTATGAAAATCAGATCAGAAACATGTTGAATATATGTATTTTGTTTTATAGAATATAGTTGGCGTGTAATTACAAAATTTGAATTGAATATGCTCTGATCGGTTTTATAAAATCATTTGATTGCATTTATTAATGTAAAGTATTTATTTTCTTAAATAATTAATTTAAGATTTTGTGGATTTATGAAGAACAGAGTTTTAAAAAGTTAATGTGACACCTTAGACTCGGATCCGGGTCAGATACGGGTTGAGGGTGTTACATTATCCAAGTATTTTTGTCAAATATGTTGTCCACAAAATGGAGAATATTTTCATTTCTAAATTAATAGAAAAAAGATTGGCTAGTCTTAAAATGTTAGACTTTCCAATAATTATAATTAAAAATATTTTTTAATTAGATGAATATTTAAATAATCTACAAATAAAAACAATTCAAGTATAAGTATAGGTTATTTTAATGCAATGTTAGTCTTTTCAATATTATGTATTGTTAACTAGATGAAGAATTAATTAAAATCATTGTAAATAAAAGCAAAGCAATTACAATCCATTTATTAAAATTACAAGCGTTTGCCCTATTTTTTCTCCTTTTTCTTAGTAGTTATTAGTTTTTTTTCATCTTTATAATATGTGACGATGTTGATCGTTGATCATCGATATTTATTTATTTTTATTTATTTTAGTGTATCTTTATTTTTTTTTCTTTTTTTTACCTTTAGTATTTATGCCTTTATAACATGTCTTCTTCTGTCTTTATGTCACATTTTCAGTCGTTTTTGTTTATCTTTTTTTCAGGGTTGGATTTAACATTGTCACGACTGATCAAGATAACACTTATTTGTTATCATGCTGGTCTTTCATGCTTTGGACTCTCAAATTGGATTTGGATACACGATTTGTGTTTCGTGGATAGTATTTTGATGTCGCTCAATTCTGATTTAGGATTTGATTATGATCTTTTAATAACTTCATTCTCTTTTGTGGTCCATTTGTTGATGCGGCCAGATCTATATGTATTTATCTTTTGTTCGAATTTAATTGGTTAGGTTTTGTAACATTTTCCTTGTATGGTCCTTGTGCCATCTTAAGTGACTAATTTTATTATGTTTAGGAAAATAGACTTATTATATGTTTAATTTACGGTTTGTGATTATAAACCTTCATTGTAATTTATATTTTTTATTTTTAATAAAATTAGTTGGTTCAGTAAAAAAAATCCTTATAAAAGTATATTTTAACATGTGTTTGTGCTTTTTTTACAAAAGTTTAAATATACAAAAGGTGCCCAACATATGCCTTTGGTTCAAGTTTAGTGTCTAACGTTTATTTCGTTCCAGTTTGGTGTCTAACATTTCATTCCGTAACTCAAACTAGGTTAGGTCGTGACTGATCGTTAAGTTTGGTCGTTAAGTGTCACGTGTCACAACTTGATAATTTTAAAAATTTTATTTAAAATTAAAAAATTATATATATATATATATCTTAAAAAGAAAACAAAAATTTTGAAATAAACCCAAAACTTTGAAAACCTTTATTTCAACTCATAAACCCACGCCAACCGCCGCCTTCTACTGTCGACAAAGCTCCATCGACCCCCTCTCTTCGGCTAATAAAACCCATATGAAATCATGACGATCGACGGTTGATCGATGACGAATCAACGTTTTATACCCCGCGAACCCTAGGATGAAAATTACGATCCCATGCGATTCTGACGGCCCATCGACCATCAATCGATCACGATTTCATAGGGGTTTTGGTCGTCGGGGTAAGGAGAAGTCGGGTGGAGCTTCGTCGACGGCAAAAAATGGTGGCCGGCTTAGGTTTAGGGGTTGAAATGAAGGTTTTTAAAGTTTTGGGTTTATTTCAAAGTCTGTGTTTTCCTTTTAATATATATATATATATATATATATATATATATATAACTTTTTAATTTTAAATAAAAATTTTAAAATTACCAGGTTGTGACACGTGTCACTTAATGGCCAAACTTAGCGATCCGTCACTGCTTGACCCAATTTGAGTTACGGAATAAAACGTTAGACACCAAACTAGAACGAAATAAACGTTAGGCACTAAACTAAAACCAAAGACATACGTTACCACCTTTTATATATTTAAGTCTTTTACAACTAAACCATTAAGGTTGTTGGCCTAACCTATATTGTTTTAATGCAATATATAGATGTTTCTTTTTGTTTGAAGTGGAGATAAAAATTATGATTTTTTAAGAGGAAGTTCACTCTTAAATTGCATATATAATTAGAAACATAACGTGAATAAATAATTAGAATTATAATTAAAAACCATAAATTATAAACTTATAAAAATTGTAATAAATTTAAGAGAAAATTCCATTATTTTTATACTATTTTTAAACTTAGGAATTTGGTTTTTATTATAAAATTTTATGTTATATTAAAGATTTTTCAAATTTAATTATTATTATTTTCTAATAGTTACCTACCCGAGTAACTTTTTTTAAAATGTCAGTGGAATACTTGCTCTAATGAAAAATTCATTTTGGGTTGAGAGGTGTTAAAATTTAGGTATAAATTTGTCAATTTTTGCATATTAAATAAATGTTATTTTGTATGTTTACGTTTAACAATATAATTAAAGATTAAATGATTTTATTATATATAAAAAAGATTAAATGATTTTAAACAAGGAGTGTTCTCTAAACAAGAAAAATAATAACGGAAGGTCAAAAAATAATAATAGTAATAAACAGGGACGAAGTTCCTTTAAGATCCAAAGGATCTAACCCATATTAAAATGATATATTTAATATAGTTTTGATTTAATAGTATTGTAGTTTATGTAAAATAAATATTTAAATTTAAAAATATAAAAATTTATTAAATATTTAATCAAGTAGTGGTCAAATTAAATAATGATAAGTATGTGTTCTCAAATTTTTAGTCTAATTACAATCTAGGTTATTGTAAGTTTAAATATTAGACAAATTAGAAGTTGTCTTAAAAAATTATTTGTTGAAATAAGGTCTAATTGAAATTATTTTTTGATATAATGTGAATGCTACAGTACCTGTCGAATGTCTTATGGACCACTAATTACCGAAGTAGGTAATCAATGTAACTTATGGGAAATCTAGGAAACCAATGCTTGAACGTTTAGAAGGCCTGGCGACTTATGGAGGTCGTCCGGAGGACCTGGCGACCTATGGAGGTCTTCGAATAAAAGCCTAATTACCGATATAGGTAATAACTGTAACTTATGGGAAATCTAGGAAACCAATGCTTGAGCGTTTGGAGGAAATGGCGACTTATGGAGATCGCCCGGAAGACATGGCGACCAACCCTCGAACTATAGCAAACACCCCAAATGAGCAAATAATTATTGGGTTGCATTATCTGAAGAATTTTTTTATTTCAACTCATTATCTAAAGAATTTTGCCGTTGTTTGTGAATTTTGATTTTTTTTATTATAAATTTAAGGTGAATACAAGGTAGTATATGTACAAATATTTTTAATTATTTGACAATAAACGCTTATACCCCTTCGTACGCAGTGCTTGAACTTGGGACTTCAAGAATAACAATAAACCCCTTAATCACGAAGGTCACTTGTTAATGTTGAATTTCGAATTTAAACACCTAATAAGCCTTTATATTTTTTTAAATAATATAATATTTCAGTCTCTGTCAATATTTAATTTTTACTCTATCTATGATAATAAAAAATAATAACCGGTAAAAGACGCAATTTGCAGCTGAATAATGTGGCTGGGTTGGTCAAAGTTCACTATTCCAAGTCATATTTGGAGTGCATTCCACATTGTTTGACCCAGCTACGCCCACCATCGTTTTTTTTATGCTCTTTCATTTATTTAGAAAAATAATTTAACCCTTCAATTATTTATAAAATAAACAAATTATTTGTGTTTTCATTTTGAAGGAATCTAAATCTGTATAGATTTGACTTAGTTTTAGAAATAGTGTAATGATAAAAATCATCTTTGATGTTTGTAACATTAACCCTCTTATTCTCTATTTTTTTCAACATTTTGGTTCCTAACATTTTATTTTTTTTATTAAATCAATTATTGTTTGATGGAAACCATTATTTACTAGGAGTCAACACATATGATTGATATAATATTTTCAGATATATTCATTTGTTGATGTGATACATGTCTCGTTATCACTTTAGGTGACATAACATATATCATATCATCACTTTTGGTTAACATGTCGCATGTCCTTGAATTCTCCACAAACGAAGAAATGAATAGCCTTAATCCCGAGAATGAAAGCTTTAAAATACCTCTGCTATTAAATAAAACCAAGAAACGAACGCTATATCTCCTATAAATTTTGGGTCAATTCATTTTATGACAATCTCTTGATTATAGGGCAATTGTTGTACCTTTGAAGATATATCTCTAAGACTCTCATCAATACCTCGAAAACCCAAGGGTTCCTCTGCAAGGTTCGTCCACGGAGGGTGAGTCAGGGCCTAAGATCAGTCTGAAAAGCATAGTCGATGGATTACAGGTGAATATTCCTATACTACCCCTTGTTGGTCCTGAGGGACGGAGAAGGCTAGCTTAGCCTAAACATGGTTATCGGTTAAAGGACGAAATGTGCCATGTTTTTTAAGGGTAAGAAGGGTAGAGCAAATGCCCCCAACCAATGTTCGAGTACCAGGCGCTACGGCATTGAAGTAGCCCATGCTATACTCCCAGGAAAAGCTCGAACGACCTTCAATAAAAGGGTTCATGTACCCGAAACTAACACAGGTGGGTAGGTAGAGAATACCTAGGGACACGAGACAACTCTCTCTAAAAAACTTGACAAAATAGTCACGTAAATTCGGGAAAATAAGTGCCTCATCACAAAGGGGTCGTAGTAACCAGGCTCGGATGATTGTTTACCAAAAACACATGTCTCCGCAAAGTTGTAAGACCATGTATGGAGGCTGACGCCTACCCAGTGCCGAAAGGTCAATGAAGTTGGTAACCTTATGACAAGGGAGCTGGCGACCGAAGCCCCGATGAACGATAGTCGTAACTATAATAGTCCTAAGGTAGCGAAATTTTTTTTCTGGTAAATTTCAACCCGCATGAAAGGTGTAACAATCTGGGCATTATCTTGGAGAGAAGCTCGGTGAAATAGACATGTATGTGAAGATGTAGGCTACTCGCACCTGGACAAAAAGACCCTATGAAGCTTTTCTGTTCCCTGGGATTGGCTTTGGGCTTGTTTGCGCAACTTAGGTGGAAGGTGAAGAAGGCCTCCTTCTGGGGGGATCGAGCCATCAGTGAGATACCACTCTGGTAGAGCTAGAATTCTAACCTTGTGTCAGGACCTATGGGCCAACGAACAATCTCAGGTATACAGTTTCTATGGGGTATAGGCCTCCTAAAAGGTTACAGAGGCGTGTAAAGTTTCCTTGGATCGGACGAATATTGGCCCTCGAGTGCGAAGGTAGAAGGCAGTATATACTTATCTAGAGCCTCATACTCCCTAAAAGACGATACCTCAAGATTAAACCTCTGATAACTCCACATCATTCTTTAGAGACAAACTTGACAATCATCACCTTCATAGGATTGACATCAGTTGTCATGTAATCAAAATATTTATATTCTGAAAATAGATAAATGATAGATTTTTCTATTTAGATTCTAAACTTGCGTGGTTCATCTTCATCACTAGGACATCCTTATTTCTCTTATCCCGCCTAAAAAAATCACAGACCAAAATGATTGATTCTCTATTGATCAAAATTTTATGTCCAAATCAAAAGAGAGTAGAGAGTATCCACCCTGGATTGATGATATAAACCTATTCTTATCAATAATAGAAAAATATTTAAATCAATATTTAAACGTAATTCTTTTCTAGAATGACTAATGGAATTATGAATAAATCTATGGAGATTCATAACAGAATATCCAAATATTTGGTACGGAAAAGAATGGATTCATAACCCAACAAAGGCATGAGCCCTAAGACATGGATTTTTTCAGACCCAAGAAAAATATACCCACATAAAAAAATGCGTCATTTTTATAAATGATAAATCAAGGGTGTTATTGGCCACTGCCCCCTTAATTTTAGTTTATTTTAATATTATCCCTATTTTTATTATTAATTACACTTTAAATCTGAGCTGTATTCGGCTCCGTCACTCAGAACGATGCTATTGGGACAAAAAGCCGCTGTTATACATAAAAATTGAAGCTCATTCATCAATAACAGAACCAAAGAGGCTAGAAATTGCATATCAACATAAGCCCAAGAAAAAGCTTCAAAGCTCTCTCCAATGGCCGATTCTGGACTCCATTTTAAGACAAACCAAACTCGTCTATGATTCTGAACCAAAAATGATAGAAATCAGCTAAATTGAAAACACTAGACACACTCTGTGCTTTGCGTATCCATATGCAGGCCACATGTTCGTTGTTTTGTCCGAAATGAAAAAAACAAATGTATTATTAAACAACCAACACGGTCTGACATTCTCAATTCTCATTCCCCCCATGTCCGAAATCCATATCCCACCATCTATGCCATTTATCTAATCTTATTACTACCTTTTTCATACTATAATAGTATAATATAAAGAGAAAAAGGGGAACAAAGACTCAAAGAGGAAGCCAATAGAATATAGATATCATAGAACCAAAAATAATGTTGGCGAAAGAATCCGGTGGTTCGACTTTCGATCTTCCCGAGGAAGTGTTTCGAGTATTGCCCTCTGATCCTTTCGATCAACTCGATGTGGCCCGTAAGATAACCTCCATTGCTCTCTCCACGCGCGTTTCTTCACTCGAAGCCGAGTCTTCTTCTCTTAAACACCAGTTCGCCGAGAAAGACCAACACATCGCCGATTTGTTTTCGCAGATCGATGCCCTCGAGACTTCCTTGTCCGAACCTCGGATAAGCTCGTTAAGGCCGACCAGGAAAAGGTAAGTCCGGTCTGGGTTTGTCTTCGGTTAGTTTATTCCTTTTTTCTTTATGCATTAAATGATTGAATTCTCTCTTTTTGTTCTTTGCTAGGAGAGCTTGTTGAAAGATAATGTTTCACTTTCTAATACTGTAAGGAAGCTTCAGAGAGATGTTTCCAAGGTAAAAGGTTATTGGGGTTTTCACTAAATGTCTGCGTTTTTTGTTGATTGATTGACTAAAGCTGGTGATTTCTGGGTTAATTATTGGTTTTTGATTTAACAAAGTTAAGTAGTTGGTTAGAAATCGTGATGAAGATTTGGGTTTTGTTTATGAAATCAATTACTTCGAGGAAATAATGCAATCTGATTGAAAAGTTGGGGAGAAATAGTGGGAAAAGGAACTGGAGTAAAGTATGTGGAGAATACTGTGTTGTAGTGCTGTTGAGATGGTGAAGAAAATTTTATTTTCATGCGCAATAGAGGGTTGGCTTTAATTTTTTTGTTACCGAAGTGCCTTTGTAAATTCCTGGTAAGGGAAGGTATAAGCATTTCTTGATGATTTGGAATGTTTTCATCTTGTTGATTATATGCGTGTTGTAATAAAAAGATGAGAATTTTGGAAATTTGAATGTGGCCTTCAATTGATTCATCTGCAATATCAAGGGCTTTTGTGGTTTAAGCTAAATGTAGTCTGAGGTTCAACTATTTTGTGAGCGTGCAGTTGGAGGTCTTTAGAAGGAAGCTTATGCAGTCACTTCAAGACGACGAAGAAAGTCCAGTAAGTAATCCCACTGGACTGCTCTACTGATTCCGGGGATTTCTTCTTAGGACAATGCTTTGTGGTTTTTTGACTTGCTAAATCTTTGTTTCTGCTACATGCCGTATAGGGTGCTCCGATTGTTGCGAAAACAACACCATCAGGGTTGGCTTCCCCCCCCCCCTTATTCAGACTAGCTCATTTGGACGGTGTGCAGTTTATCTATTATCTAGATGGAATATTGAGTCCATTATTTAAACTGTCTTCCGGAACTTTGTCAGATGCATAAGCTACTTGCAGTGCTCAAGGCTTTTTCCTTTCCTTCTAATGTTAACCCTTGATTTGTTTCAACTTTCCAGAAGATGATGCTGCCTTGATTTCGAGAACTGCTTCGATGCACAGCCAGTACTCTGATACGGGAAATTCGTATGCAGAGGATCGTGACTCAGATGGTACATGACAGTCTGTTCATTTTACCATTGCTGTAGAATTTGTTCATAAACATGTTTATTTCCACTATAATAGTATTCCCGAAGTTCCTTTTGTTTCTGCTTCGGTTCTTATGGCTATTTGTTCATGCATGTCTCTTATCATGGGAAAATCCAAATGATTGCAGCCAAGTGCACTGAAATATTCTTTTCCCGTTAACCCTTTCGTTTGTTTCTCACAGGGTACCATTACAGTGTCAGCCTCGAGACCTGACATACCTCATGGCCTCCTGCTAGCATCACAAATGAGCACACGTCGGATAACTCATCCAGGTACCCCACCAAGTGTGTCTGCCTCTGTATCTCCCACAAGGACGTCTAAGCCAGTGTCTCCTAGGAGGCATTCAGTTTCATTTTCTACCTCAAGAGGCATATTTGATGATAGGTCATCACAATATCAAGCACCGATTCCGGATCACAGGCTGGTTAGCTTTGAAATTGTTTTTTTTTTATAAAAATAGGAGGCCTCGATAAAACCCCTTAATAACCATCGAACTACAAAGTAACTCAACGGACATTGGAAGGAGGGAAAGAGTGCCTCAAAGATTTTATTACCAGAAACCAATTACACCGAAAGTACAATAACACCAATTACAATCAGAACAACCTGAAAACAGAAACAAACCCATTACACCAAACATACACAAACTATTAACCTATCCCTAACTTAGCAAATTTATCCGCTTACCGATTAGCTGCTCTCTTAACATGCCTAACAATAACACCTCTATCCACCACAATAGAAGCAATGTCTTTCACCACTGACTCAAACAACGGGATGCTAGCACCAGGGATTTTAATCCAGTCCAAAGCCACACAGCAATCAGACTCTAAAATAAGACCTTATCGAGAATCTAATTACTTGTAGAGCTTGATGCGTAATTCTGCAACCCACAAGTCTGGTATTTAATATATAATTTCATGACATCTTTTACTGATATGTTCCAGGTCGCACTCGGGTTGATGGAAAAGAGTTTTTCCGTCAGGTCAGGTAAATATATATGTATTACAAAAACTTATAACTGCAGTAGTAAGCTGTTGTGGATGATGAATTACTATTATGCAGAATCTACTATATTACCAGCTTTGAGGTTTTGCCTAGCTTCGTCTCACCCATAAACTTGTTTCATCAGGAGCCGCTTGTCTTATGAGCAGTTTGGTGCATTCCTGAGAAATGTTAAAGAACTAAACTCCCACAAACAAACGAGAGAAGTACGCAACATCTTGTCTGGCTCGTTTTCTACGTTCTCTTTGTTTCTCGTTGCCGTGTTTTGATTTCCCTTTTAATCTTTGACTTATCCAGGAGACTTTAAGGAAAGCAGAGGATATTTTCGGCCTGGATAATAGAGATCTGTATGCAATATTTGAGGGTTTGATCAATCAAAATGTCCATTAAATCAACCGAGCAATCATCAATTTTTCCACTGATTTATTTGATACATTTTTTGGGTGTAAACTTACCTAATAAAGCATGTATTGTGACACTTTCACGAAAGCTCTTATTTCCTATTGGCTATAAATTTTTCCATCCACTGTTCCATTGGTGAAAATACATCAAAATGAGGTTACGAATGTCGAGATTCGAACTCATAACTTGTATTAATTAACCGAGCCAACTTCTTTTAGCCGTTATGAAGATATTCTTTGCATTTCCCTATTAAGGATCATAATCTCTTGTGGGTTTGGCAGTAAGAATTGTATCATTATAAGTACCGTACATTGTATGGATAAAAAATAAAGGAGTAAACGAGAGTGAGATAAGTTGAACATTTCTTGTGAGAAAATTCAAAGTTTATGAGAACACCAGCTGAATCTCCATATGAAGTAAAAAAAAAACTGTATTCTTCAACTAAACAAGTTATTTCTTGTTGACCCAGTTGTGTGTTTGCTGGTTGAATTACAAGCAAAATGTATTGATAAAAACTTAAAAAGTAGGCAGTGGGAGAACATAAACAAACATTCTGGTTTCTTCCACGTGTCAAAGACCCAAACTTGTTCTTGGAAGAGAGTCCCAGACGTGCTTTCTCACAAGCCTTAAAACATTCCTTAAGATTTGATAATCATAGGGCCAAATCTATTCTCCTTTTCACTTCCGTTGTTTTAAAAATAAATTTATGCTAAAAAAAGGATGGGTTAAGAATGAAGAAATGGGAGAAAGCCTACTTTTAGGCACAAGGAGATGATCTGTCAAAAAAAAATTATATGGATATTAGAGACAGCTCAGAGAATAATGGCAACCCTCTACTACATTTCTTATTTTTCTCATCATTCTCTCTTTCCTTCTCTCTCTTTCTCTCTATCTTTGTCAAAATTTGCATATTCTTTTGGCTTCTCAGGTCTCCCTGGTTTGATAATCTCTGAAAAGCCATGGGGGATACAATGGAAGCTTCTGATAATACAAAGTACTTTGTATATGCATCATTTTTGGGCTTTTATTTTCTTATTCCGGTTGCTTTCCATGTGTTTAGTGTTTTTTGCAGCATTGGGTTATGACTTGTTTATAGTTTTTTGAATGATCTTTTGACTTTATGGCCTTGAGTCTCTCATGTTTCCAATGAATTTATAAGATTCATCTGTTTATGCTTTGTTGAATTCAAATCTCTGTTGCATATAATGTGTGTGTGTGTATAACTTGGCTGCATTGGATTTATTCTTCAAAATCACAATGCTTAAAACGGACTAGGAGAAACTCATATGTTGCTAATTATTCCATCTTGAAAACATTTGCTCTATCTTGCAAACATTTGCTGCAAATGACTAGGAGACGACGAATTTGTCTTACTCGGACTCAGATATGCATTCGACGTGGATATGTTCATTTTCTAAAACAATTTTTCCATGTTTTTGGAAGGATCTTAGATTTATATTTCCACAATCTATGTTCATCTTCGAAGCATGCTTAACTGATAATTTGTTGTCACAGTTTATACTCATTGCCATACTGCCTTTTCCCCCTCACTATATCTTTGATTATAATCTGTTTTCCCCTCTTGCAGTGGTGAACAATCCATTGAGGGGAAAAATTCCAGTAAAATTGCCACTGACAAGAAGAAATGGGAGCCTCTTCGTTTTATGAGGAATTTTCATCGAAACGGTTTCTCCGACTCAGTTTCAACTCTTGGTATTCAATCATCCTTTTCTATGTTCTTCAGAGTTGATATGTTTGAGAGGCTTCAATAGTTATTCTAATGTTAGATCCCATATAATGTTAGATTTGGATTCTTTACAAGCTGAAGTGAAGACGATTGGTGCAGCGTCTCTGAACGCCGAGTGTCGGGATTGCTCAACAAGTACTGCAGAATCAATAGACCCCAGAACTGATGCATCAGAAGAACCTGCAGAATCCGAGATATCAGAGTCTGAAAGCCACTCTAGTTTGGCTAGTTTCATTCAACTGCGTGGCTTCTTTCGTTTACTGAAAAAAGGCCCGGGAATCCCCTCTCAAGTCTTGCCTCCTCTAATGCCTAAGGGTGCCATAAAAAAGGGGAAAAAAGGTGGAGACGACAGGGTTCCACCACTAGATTCGACTTTGGATGCAGAACTAATCTGTTTTAAATCTTCCTGGAAGAACTTTTCACTCTCGGAGCTTGAGGAGGCAACCAATAACTTCAGCCCTGGTATATTTCCTCCTACTTGATCATTATTTTTTTTCAAAAAAAATTAATCTGGTTAGAGTGTCGAATTTCCACTCGGAAAAAAGAATAATGGTCCTATGACATTCTCTTATTGTCCTGCTAGGCTGACAAACATTTATGTTTCCATTGTTTTTGAGAAGACAATATGATAGGAAAAGGAGGGTATGCAGAAGTTTACAAAGGGCGACTGACAACCGGAAAGTATGTTGCGATTAAGCGGCTAATGAAAGGTTCACCGGAAGAGATGACAATTGATTTCTTGTCTGAGCTTGGAATTATAGTTCATGTTGACCATCCCAACATTGCTAAAATGATCGGCTATGGTGTTGAAGGCGGAATGTTCCTTGTTCTTCAATTGTCCCCCTATGGAAGCCTGGCATCAATACTTTACGGTTTGTTTTCCGCAAATCTTCTTAATTTTGATTTCTTCATAAGTTGATATACAAAATTTTAGTGGTTCAACTCGTTGCCGTTCATATACAGGCCCTAGGGAGCAACTGAATTGGAGTCTCAGATTCAAGATCGCCGTAGGGACTGCTGAAGGCCTTGCCTATCTTCATGAAGGTTGCCAACGAAGAATTATCCATAAAGATATCAAGGCGGCGAACATATTGCTTTCAGAAAATTTTGATGCTCAGGTAAAACTCGAACTCGCGCTCACAGTTTTGTCAAATTGCAGATAAAAGGTCTTGCTTAAGATGTTCCTTTTCTTATGGTTGGATTTCAGATTTCAGATTTTGGCCTTTCAAAGTGGTTGCCTGATCAATGGACACATCATACCGTCTCTAAAGTCGAAGGCACATTCGGGTTCATAGTTGAACTTCATTTGGTTTCTGTACATCTAAGTTATTTTTATTGTATGTGAATAGTAATCGGAATTCATGCCATTGCAGTTACCTTCCTCCCGAGTGTTTCATGCATGGCATAGTCGACGAAAAAACGGATGTCTATGCTTTCGGTGTATTGCTGTTGGAGCTCATCACAGGGAGGCAAGCCGTCGATAGTTCACACCGGAGTCTTGTTATCCGGGTGGGTTGGATTTATACTTGTACTAGATACCCACTTATTGAGTGATCCAATTGTTCACCTTGCAGACAAAACCATTGATAGCAGAAAATAAAATCAACGAGCTGGTCGATCCATTGCTCGGGGATGACTATGACGCTGACCAGTTAAAACATTGCATCACAACAGCTTCGATGTGTATAAATCAGTCGGCGATAGATCGACCCCAAATGAGCCAGGCATGTCCTTTTTCATCACAAGTTACTTGCAATCCAAGTAAAAGTTCAGATCTTTTATGTCTGTAATTTAGAAACCGGAAGAACGAGGTTCTAATCTCGAATGATTCGACCTTTGCATTTCACTGCAGGCTTTAGCCATTCTGAAAGGCGATCTTAGCTGCCTTGAGATGCTTAAAGAACGCTCGGCTCATCGGAGGACGTACTCCGAAGAGATCTTTGATGCAGAAGAATATAACTCAACCAAGTGTTTGAATGATTGAAATAGTGAGATTGACCAAGTTTCATAGTGTTTTTTTTTTATCCTGAATTCTGATTCTTCTGCAATAATTCTTTTGTAAATTTATTGTAGTCCAAGTTCTATTTTCCATGAAATTAACAAAGTTTGAGGGATTAGAACAGTTGAAATAAGGGAAAAGGTTCATTATGAAAATGTAATATAATATAAACCAATGTTTTTAAAATCGAATCGGACATTGAACCGGTAAAGGTACTGGTTCCGAATCGGACATTGAACCGGTAAAGGTACTGGTTTACTGGTTTAACCGGGTTCAACACCGGATTTTATATAAAATAATATTTTTTTTATTTTACATAATATTCAAAGCAATATTAATATATATGTAACACTTTTTTTAAGTTTACAATATTAAAAGGTATAAAAATATCACAAGTCATAACATATATAAATTAAAAACCACAAAATCAAGTGAAACAAAATGATTCAAATCAATTACAACATAATATTTAAGGAAAAACATATTAAATAATAAATATAATTATATAACTACAATAAAAAAATAAAATTGGGGCTTAAAAAATCATAACAAATTATGTCATTTGGTTTAATTTAAAAAAAAAAACAATCACACATGGCTAAGAAACATAGAAGAGCATCCCAAAAATTTAAAGAGTAAAAAAATGATAACAAAACAATCTCATATTGCTAAGAAACATAGAAGAGCATCCCAACTTACTTCTATAAATAATAGAGGTAATTTGACATTTAAAATCATGTAGTCTTTTGGTGAGCACAGAGCGAACTATTCTTTCGCTTCAATTGAGCTCAAATTTTAGGCTTCAATCGAACTTCTAATTTTTTTTTGAGTTCGAGCCTTTTCGAGTTCAAGTTTTAATATTATATTTCGAGTTCGAGTTGAACTTGATAATTTTTAGCTCGTGAGTTTTTGAGTCGAGTTGAGCTTATTTTTAAAGTTTTCGAGTTCGAGTCGTGTTCAACAATACTCGAATTTGACTTGGCTCGTTTAACAAATGACGTCGTTTGATTTAATTTTTTTTAAAAGAAAAAAAGTGAACCGGCGGTTCAAACCGGTTTTACCGATTTTCAGCCAATTCATTGCCAGACCGGTTTTGTGAGATAACCGGACCGGACAAGCCACCGATTCACGGTTGAACCGACCGGTCCGATTTTGATAACCATGATATAAACACATGTTTATGATTTTGACAAACAAATATGTTATATTTTTACATATTCAAATTATTTTTGGTTAAAATTAATTTAATTGACTTTATCGAATTATTAAATTTTGAATTGAATAATCGACTTATAAACTATAGCGACCTCCTTTGTTTTTTTTAAACAATTAGATACAATTTCTATATTTAGATAAAATGAAATTAAGTACTTAAGTATAGTCGATTATTTATTATATCAATAACAATATCCACTGTATTATTTTATTATTTAACAGATATAACTAGTAAGATATCTAGATTATAACAAGGTTTTTGCAACGACACCGTCTGGTTCCTCAGATGTAAAATAATCAGGTGGAGCATAATCATGGTGGCTCCCTGCTTATTACACCTTACTAGTTAGGAGTTACTACATTTTAAGTAACTCGGTCAGACTCGGATCAGTAACTTTTATCATTTCCCCTAGAAAATTTTGTGACTTCTTTCCCGGAAAACATCTTCCTTTCTCTTTTTCTTTCGATCCAACAAGGTTCTACCATTAATGGCTGCTGCGAGGAGTTCTCCTCTGCAATTCCTGATACTGTTCTCAATCGCTTCAATCTTGTACCAATCATGTGATTCCTTCTTAACCCCTCCAAGCTCCATTATCAATCCTTCTAAAGTCAAACAAGTTTCCTGGAAACCTAGGTCGCTTTCTCTCTCTCGATCGCTTTTCAACTGGACCGAGTATTTTCTAAAAGTTTGATTTTCCTTTTAATTTCTCTTCTTTTGCAGGGCTTTTGTCTATGAAGGCTTCTTGACGGATCTGGAATGCGATCATTTGATTTCTCTAGTAAATTCGATTCCGACTTTTCATCATTACTTTTCGAAATTTGAATTTATTTAATATCAGTTCTTTTTCTCTTTTCTTTTTTAATTATAGGCGAAATCGGAGCTAAAGAGATCCGCAGTTGCTGATAATGTTAGTGGAAAAAGCAAGCTTAGCGAAGTCCGGACGAGCTCAGGGATGTTTATTCCTAAGGAAAAGGTTCACTCCTTATCCCACTCTCTTGTAGATTATAGTTGTTTTTTTTCCTTCTCGATCTTATTTTCCCCAATTATGTAAGTCTAAGTTGTTGGCCTCTAAAGCTTTAAGCTGTACTGAACGCTTATGCGTACTCCATCAGATGCAGTCGAACCTTTTTGGTAGGATTTGATGAAAATGTTATTCATGCTCCTTGGACCTACATGTTATAATGCCATGGATAGTTTCATGCTTTAGGGTTGTTATGTAGAGGCTTGGCTTTTATGGTATATTATCCTATATTACCCGAGCTCTTCATTTTCTCTTAAATATAGGACATGGGGATGATTTATGATTGTCATGTATGGGAAAACATGGAGAAAAGTTGAGCATATGCATTCCTCATTCATTTTAGAGTCTAGGAATCTAGGGTATATCTTGATGAGGAACATACATTAATGATGGTCCAAAGAGTTTGATCTTACAATTGTATAGCCATCAGTCTTCCCCCCCCCCCCCCAAAAAAAAAGAAAAAGAAAGAAAGAAAGAAACAAGATGCACTTGTAACATTGCAACGGTTTTACATTTGATTATTGGATATTTCAACCAAATGATGGTTGTTCCTTTTTTTTCTTCCTTTTTCTTTTGTAGGATCCTATTGTTTCTGGTATAGAGGACAAGATTTCGACATGGACATTTCTTCCAAAAGGTGCTTATACCATATGCACAAAAAGACTTTGGCCAAACTTCTCTTTCTTGATTGTAACCTTTTAATTGAGGAGTCTACCAAGACCGTGTTATTTTGTTTGTCGTGACATTAGATGTCAAGATTTCTTGCAAACCACAATGATAGGTTATGGGATTTTGACATATATGTTAAAAGTAGTCAAGGGTTAAGGTCACAATTAAATAAGTAATTTGGTTAGATTCTGTTACCGTGACTGTACCCATCTATTTTAATGCATGTAACCTTCATTATCTAAAGATAAGTTACTTTGGTTACTCATAATGAAATTGACTAGTAATTATTAATTGGGATAGAGACATGATGTTAAATATCATACATAAGATTAAAGGAGTTACTTTTGCACATTTCTACTTGTTTGGGAACTATATATCTGGATTGCTAATTTATGCCATTGGAATTTAATTTTCGTGTTTCATAACCTGTCAGTATATTAATATCGAAATCAATATGATCATCCTTGAGCTTCATGATACTCTTTGGCAGCTAAATCTCATGTGTAGACATTAATTTAAGTTAAATGCATGTTTATTTGAGGGTTGGAAGAATAAAAAATAGCAATTGTAGTTAAATTAAGGAAGCACATAATAACATGAATTCAGTTTTTCTCATTTACAGAAAATGGGGAAGACATACAGGTGTTGAGATATGAGTTTGGGCAGAAATATGATCCGCACTATGATTACTTTTCTGACAAGGTGAATATTGCTAGAGGTGGACACCGCATTGCAACTGTATTGATGTATCTTACAAATGTGACCAAAGGTGGTGAAACAATATTTCCTCAAGCAGAGGTTGTTTGAATTGTCCTTATTTCTATTAGAGCTCTTCTTCTGTTCTTTCATATGCTTACAATAAAATGTTCTTAAAGCACTAGTGTTTCTGGTGGCTCAAACATTTTTTTTTCAATCTCGTGATTTCTGATTATTTAAAGAATTTTGTGAAGTTAGTTCTTATATACAAGGTGCATTCTCATTTCTGGGGATGACTGCAATTATCATCTCTTTTAACTTCATTATCAGGAACCTTCACGTCGTAGAACACCTGCCAAGGATGATGATCTCTCAGAATGTGCAAAGAAGGGAATCGCTGGTTAGTAACAAAGTAGTTGACATATATTTCTCAAAAATCATATACTTTTATTGAATTGATGTTTGTTTTTCTAATATATTTCTGTATCTGTATAATTAGTGAAACCACGAAGAGGGGATGCACTCCTCTTCTTCAGTCTCTTCCCAACTGCTATCCTGACCCAAGCAGTCTCCATGCCGGGTGCCCGGTGATTGAAGGTGAGAAATGGTCAGCAACAAAATGGATTCATGTTGATTCATTTAGTAAGAATTTAGATGTTGGTGGCAACTGCACGGATTTGAACGAGAGTTGTGAGAGATGGGCTGCTCTTGGCGAGTGTACCAAGAACCGAGAATATATGATTGGAACCGCAGAGCTTCCTGGCTATTGTAAGAGAAGTTGCAACGTATGTTAAAAGGTAAACTACATGCTTTCATGATAGTGTACCTGCTGCTGCATTTTCTGTGGTGAGTTATTTATTGTTTTTCTTTTTTGGGATTATAAATTTACATTCTTATGCTACAGTTTCACAACTGCAGTTGCAATACATGTATTTTAATGCTTTGCAAATAGCTTGGTTTAACATATCCTTTGGGAAGTTTCCAATTTTTCATCATACATAATCTTTATAGATTGCTAATGTTTTCCTTTCAGCTTAAATCTGAAGTTTTTCTACATAGTACTCATGCTTTAAAATAGCAATAAATGGATGTAGACTTTCTTCAACCATGGAATTTCTTCTTCTTCTTTTTCCCCTTGTTGTTTGGCTAAAAGGAGAGTATTGATTGTATTATGATCCTAGAGAGGAGTCATGAATTCCATATCAGCTATGTGTTAGAGTTGGTATTGAGATACAAGTGTTTTCACTCTACCTTTAACTTGAGGCAGGACACAATGGGACGAAGCTGACAATACTTTGTAGGTTATTGTTGACTGTGATATTTAGTATCAAAGCTGGTTTTGGGTACTAGAAATATGTCAATGAAGACAGTAGGTGTCACATCCCGAAATCGAGATTAGTTGTCGAAAGTATGAAATTCCGATAAAGTACCAAAAGGATTATCGTAGATTAGACAATTATTAAATTTGAAAATTATCATTACCGAAAATGAAAGGTAATAAGGGTAAGAAATACTTGGAAAATGTTTTCAGATTAGTTAGGATAAAAATCAGACTTTAAAGTAGGGATTAAATTGAAAAGAAATTGAAAAATTAGTTTTATGTGTGGGCATGGACTAAATTGGAAAGTAGGCAAAAAGGGTGTCTTCACAAAACAATTAAATTGTGTTTAGAACAAGGGAATTTTTAGATCCTATATTTTTGAGTTGTTATTCATTTCCATTTTACTAAATCTGAAAATTCTCTCAATCTCTCTTACTTTTCTCTGAACTTTTCTATCATTTTATTCTTATTTTCAACTTTTTAAATTTTCGTTTTTGAAGAAATCCTCCTAAATTTGATTTTCAAAACTCAATTCCAAGTAATTGTGTTCTTTTTATTTGATATTTAATCCATCATAATTTCTAATATTTACTTTTAATCTTTTTTTGATAGAGTATAGGCCTCATTAAAAACCCCCTTCATATCCTACATGTTATATAAGTAACATGAAGGACATAGGAAGGAGGAAAAGAGCGCCTCTGAATTATATTAATCTTGAACATAACATACAACCAATCCATAACCATGGCCTGCTTATAACATAAGACTTAACAACCTAAACACAACTAAAAACCAAACCCCTTAAAAAACACAATGAACACCCCAGCTTAATAACTATAACTCATAACCACAGATCATCCTATACCAGCTTTTGCCAACTCATCTACTTCCCAGTTAGCAGCTCTCACAATATGTCTTGAGATGATACCCTTTCCTTCCACATAAGTAGCTACGCCTCTTACCAAGGACTGAAACAACGGGATACATACATCTGGATTTTTAATCCACTTGAGGGCCGTGGTCGAGTCTGATTCCAAGATAATCCTCTGAGTTGGAAAAGATCTCAACTCTTCAATGAGACTTAAACCTCTTTTGATCGCCAACAACTCTGCAAGAATAGGAGGTCCTCCTCCAATTTTTTCAGAGAAAGTTCCTAGTTTCAAACCTCTGTCATCCCTAATCAGACCGCCTATTCCTCCTTTGTCCCATCCCTTAACCATTGCCCCATCAACATTAAGTTTAATGAAACCTTCTGGCGGAGGTACCCACCGAGAAGTAGCAACGCTCCTATGATTCTGTCTTCCAATCGAGTCTGCCAATTTTAAATCCCCAACTAGAGAATCGAAAGGAATATTAATATCCTTGAAGCTCGCCTCAAACCAAGAAACAGTTCTGAATCTAGCAAGAAAGAACAGCAGTGCAGAATCCACTTTCCCTTTTTGGAAAATAATCTCGTTCCTACATTTCCAAACCGACCACAACACCGCCCTTGGAATGAATTTCCAAATTGTAGATCTCGGAATTAACTCATCCCACAAAATTAAGAAGTCAATCACCTTATTAGGAACCACAAAAGAAACATTCCAGCCCCTAAAAAATCTAGACCACAGAACCCAAACCACCTCACAATGCAAAAACAAATGTGAAATCGACTCCTCCCCCTTCCCACACATCGGGCATAAGAGGTCCTCAATCCCAGCCACTCCTCTCTTCGACAGCTCCTCTTTGATGTGCAACTTGCCAAACATTTGATGGTGATATTTTCTTATTTCAGCAGGTTTTTGTTGATTTTAAAATATTTTTAGTGACTTTTTAATGTGAAAAAGAGGATCAAAACATTTAATCTACTCATAATCAGATTTGTAGAAAACGAAAGGGATTTTATAAAGAAAATAAAGTTTTCTTGGTTATAGTAAAATCTGAGATTAGGATTTGGAACTTTTGATTCCAAACACACTTAAAGTTATTAGACGCGAGTACTATAATTAATTAGTAAACCAAATAAGAGAAATGAGTTTCCTAAGCCTTTAATCAAAATAGACATAGAAGAGTTAGTAAGGGAAGGTCGGTGTGTAGGTGTTTTAAGCATTTGTTAAACATTTGTTTGCCTTTTAAATGAGGAGTAATGAGTGATTCTTAATTGTGATCGAAGAAACAGAGGAAGTTGGAACATCGAAGTCGAGAGACAAAGGGAAAACTAAAGTCCATTAGTTCTCGATAAGAAAAATGAAGAGTAACAGGTTGTCTCTTTACTCTTGGCAGGAGGGCATATAGTCTCCGTTTTTAATGATTTAAAAGTGAATGATGGTTGATGTACAATTGGCTTGGTAAGAAGGTAAACGTACATGGCTGTTAGTTGTGGTGTGTTTGAAATAGTTGATGATTATATGATGTGCGACAATAGGGTAAATATTAAATGAATTCACATGTTATAGTTGGAGTATGAAACATGAACATGATAGGTGATGAACTTGGTTAAACATCAACACATGAATATGTTTGTGTATTTGGAGTCTTTGGATATAGTTGGCATGTCATAAGATTTGAGATATCTTATACATGTACACTTGATCACAGGTTGACTGAGTCATCCAGGAGCTACATGATGCATGATTTATATATAGTGTTAGCAGGTGTTAGCTTAGCTACACTATTCGGAGTTACTTGGCACGTGAACATACATAGATTAGAGCTTTGATTCAAACAAGAAACCAAGCCTTGACTTATACAAGGGCGGGGGTAGGAAATCCGTGTATCCTCTAAAATCCGTAAATTTTACTGGGGGCATTTAAAGATTTTTTTCTGTATAAGTATGCTTACATGATGGTTTAACTAAAAGCTATATTAAATAAATATGGTAGAATATATATGATAGGATAAATGAACATGTTTTGTAACAGACCACAAGTGTTGATTCATGCATGTGTGGAATGAAATGGGTGTAGATATGGTAAATGGAGGCTTGCATGATGGTTAAAGTAGCTTAACATGAACAATGCACTTATGACTTGTTTGTTGCTTATTCTTTGCATGTTTTGCCCTTGAACACAAATTAAATTTCTGTAACCTTAGCATGTGGCTTTTCATGTGTAGGTAATTAGAGGTTAAGGATCTCAGAGAGACGTGGCATCGACACCTAGCTTGGCTTTACTTACAGAGATTGTAAGTATCTTTACTTCCTAAATGATGTGGCATAAGGGTAACATGAAAATGACTTCGCGACTTGGATGTTGCATAAGTGTTTTAATGTGTAATATAACCTATTTGGTACGTTTGGAATTGTTTGGTATTTTTGGAAGTTGGTTTTGCAAGATTGATGAATGAATGGTATGTTTTTGTATTGTTTCCAAGCTTGATGTTTTGGTGATTATGCCAATTTTGAAAATATTATGCTTCACTTGGTTGGTAGGGTTTTTTTTGTTGTTGAAATTATTATTGTTTCCAAGCAGGATATATGGTGAATACAAGATAATATATGTTTAAAGACTCTTTTAACTATTTGAAACTGAATGCTCATATATACACTCCTTGCATAGGTGGCGCTCAAACTCGAGACTTTAAAAAACAACAATAATTTTTAACCATCGAGATCACTTCATTACTTTAGTATTGTTATATATATATAAGTATAAAGCTTATGCCATAGGGAACACGATATCTTACATTAATTACAATATATTAATCTTAAGATTTAGCCTATAAAAAAATGTAACAATCTCTCTCAAATTGAAGTATAAAATATTATTCATGATCAACTTATTGCATAGAAATTAATCTAGATCTCATTAAGAGTTTTTGTGAAAATATCTTAATCAAACCATATCAGATGTTTTAAAAAATGAAATGACAATCAACTTTAATGTCGTTTGTTTATGAAAGACTCGGTTAAAAACAACGTGAAGTGTAAATTGATTATCACATTATACTTTTGTAGATTCTGAAGTCTTGATTTCTACTACGTTGAAAAGTTGTTATACTCATGATTTTACGTATAGACTTGGTCATAGGCTCCATTATTCCGAATTTGACCGTGATACTCTTATTCTTCGTTGAAATCAAGTTTCATATAACAAAAATACGACACCCTGAAGTAAATCTCCTATTTTTCTTATATGCCGCCCAATTCAAATATGAAAAACATCGGATCTTAGTGTGACCGGCCATGATTGTTAGACGTTCATGATACATTTTTCAAATAATATAAAACTTGTTTTATCACTTTATGCATGTGGTGTAGGAATATGGATTGAAAACAATTATGTTCATGTATTCCATTTCTGGAAATTCGTTGTCATTATCGATGTCTGAATTGCACATTCTTGAGAGTTGAGACTGCTACAGGTAGACCAGTGGTGTGAAGGAGTCTTTATCAATTATATAAAACCTGTTGATACCGTGTTCATTAAAAACTGTTACCTGTTTTCTAGGAATTAAAAACACAATTCAAAATGTCCAAATGTTTTGGTGGTGTATTCACATTATTCTCTGTTCATCATAGCTTCCTAATACAGTAGACTGGTTTTGAGCACCCAATTTACCTGCAAATAGATCGTAATAAGCAGCAGTTTCAACATTTTTCAATATTTTTACTGTTGCCCCTTGCTCTTCGTCTATCAAAATCTGTCCATCTACCGATTCAACGCCTTCAGCAATCACTTTGATCGGCATTTCTTCTATTGTTGGTTTCAGTTTGTGAAGATCCTCTGCCACGAATATTGCACCAAGAATTTCACCCAAGAATATTTCCTGCAAACGAACAGAAAAGATCTTAATGGTTCTTCGACAGAGAAACTTCATTTTATTCATAGATTCAAAAAGTTTTACCATATGACGATATCGGTGATGAGTCTGCTGCAAATTGTAGAGTCCGGACAATAGATGCTTGACGAAACCGAGCTTTGGAAGTCTTCCTTGGCAGCTTCAGCCTCTTTAACATCTCTGTAAACAGAACGACTTTACGCTGAGTTCCGAGCAGAATGAGGGTGATGTTTAATCCCGGTTCGAAGACCGTCTTTGCCGCAAACAGATTGAGAAACATATTGAATTCAGCATACTTGTTTGATGTGGTGAAAACATTTCCTTTACTATCACAACTTCGGCTGATATGTCCTCCAACAATATACACATTCTGCAATATACAATCATACGTCAATATATACATACATGCATGCATGAATATGCGTATCATTACATACATACAGACATACGTTACGTACATACATGCACGAAAGCATACCTCCATACACACAGGCATACATACATATAATGTGGGAAGAGTAAATGCATTGGTGAAATACAAGTACCTGAACTAGTGAAGCTGTTTTTGTTTGAGTTATAATGTTGGCTAAAGTAGACAAAGGTCCATTAGTCAATATGTTAATCTTTGGTCCAGAAGTCCTGGTTTTCAATATTGAAGTCCAAATTTCCAATGCCGAAGGTTGTTTTAGTAAGTCTCGAGCTAATCCGTAAACAGTATCCGTATCAAGAAATCCCCTGCTTCCATGTGGGATAGCCTTCGCATACGTGCAATCTCCAACCCGAGGGAAGACTTTGGCTGACTGATTCATAGCAAATACATCTCCGAGGCCAACCGGAATGTCGTCTCGGCCCATCATGTGCAGTAAATCATAGATGATATCTATTGATGCAGCACTAGCCCAGCCAGTTGGAGTTACTAATATTGCCTGGATAAAGAGAGAGATGATGGACATCAAATTCAGATAATCATTTGCACAGCGTATGAGGCTATTCGCAGCCGTTCTTTCGAGAGCTAAAACATGTGTTTTCTGGTGACATTTAGAAGTGAAACCATTTACCTTGAGGTTGAGAACTTCCACAGGCACTTTGAGGAGATAAAATAGAGAAAATCTCCAGCACTCATATCCATATCGAACACAACTGGTTTCCCAAGCTTCTTGTTTCCGAAATCTGGTTTGTAAAGAACTTCTCTGTAATAAGGAAATTCCGTCGAAAGATTGAACCTCCCAGTTTGTTCCAGGCTGTTTATAACCTGTGTTTGATCAACGTGTGTAACATTCATCGTTACACAGATCATCGTGAATATCAGACTGATTAAAGCTAAAATAGTGAAACTTACAGCCAAAAAACTTATGAAAAATTGTCGATCGAATTTGCTGTCAACATCCAGATTAGGTTTAGTCTTAATAGCAACAAGAATGCGAAGTGCAACGGGACTGGTCGCCTCCATCGTGTAACCATCCTATATGATTATAATGCAATGACATCCCTTGTATAGTTACGGTTAGATCATTAAGCCGAAAATGACCTTGGAATTCATGGTGGATTAAATCTAACCTTACATTTCCCTTTTCCATTCTCTACAAAACAAAATGAATCTCTAAGTTCCGTCTGAACATGACCACTATGCACTCCATCTTTCTTCAATCTGAACTTGGGAACTTCAAGGTGGTCAAAGAATGGATTAGAACCATCGGATATTCCATATGGTTTATTCGAAGTAACGACAGTGACATTCATGTATTCCATTTCTGCGAATTCATTCTCCCCATTAATCATGTCTGAATTACGCATGATCGAGACTGCTACACCAGCCATGAAGGAATCCCACACGAAGGAAACGTACTGAAAATAGCGACAGCAATGGCATTAGCAGTACAGAAATACTGTGTTATTCCTTACATATGCATTAATATTACCGTGCCAGATTTATCAGCAGAATGAGGAGCTAGTTTTGTTTTCAACAACCGGAAGCAGTATTCTGCCTCGT